GGAGAACACCTTAGCGTCAATGTATGTGTTTGATATTATGGACTTTTTCATCTGCAATCACTCAAAGGCAGCACTCCCCATCCCTCATATGATGCTGAAATTTCACTTGTATTTCTTGTTAATTTGTCTAAGCTTAGCTAAAATATTTGAAAAAACTACTTTTAAATGAAAATTTAAATGTGAAACCAGTTTTTAGTTCTATGTGCTAAAAGCTTTGAATATCACAAATCTGGAACTCAACCTAATGTTTATCTTAAATAATCAGTGATATTTTTGTGTGTAGTAATCTGAAAACAAAAGGAGAGAATTATAGGTTGAATGTAATAATACAAAAGTATGTGACAAGATGCCTTCTATCCTGTCACAGCAGATGTCCTCATTATGAAGGTGGTTTTCTCAGGGTGAGGCTTATCGATTACATTCCTGATGTACTGATCCCCGAGATTTTCCTAGATGTGAGGAACTCAACTGCATAATTGTGTTAGTGGGGACTGCATTTGTTCTTTCCCTAAAAGGAAAAAAAGAAAAAAAAAGCCTCTAGCATTACTTTAAGGCAGGGCGCAGAACCTTTTTTCTGTCAAGGACTATTTGGATATTTATAACATCATTCTCGGGCCATGCAAAATTATTAACTTAAAAATTAGCTGTGAAAAAGCTCCTAGATTTATTGAATTTTGGGTCCTGCCTGCGGTGGCCTTTGGCAGGGCCAGACTAAATGATTTTGCAGGCTGTATATACGGTGGGCCCGACGTTCCCCACCCCTGCTTTAAGGAATCTGCTCCCTTGTTGTTGAGCAATCAAATCAGTTTTTGATGTGGTTTATTTAGAATTTAAAATACCAGTAAACTAGATCTGACATAGAAATGTCAGTGGAAAAAAAGAAAGTGAAATCAGTAATAAAAGTAAGGAAAATTTTATTGGTGATGGGTTAATAATACTCAAAGAGAAACAAAGTTTAAAAAGGGAAGATTGTCCACTACACCATCTTTAAATTAGTTATTTCTAGCTATAGTCATGTAAGACTGATTCCATGTTTTGTTTTTGTTTAAGGTTAAATTACTTTTGACTAGGTAACTTGTTTTAATGACATTACCATGGAAAGATTTTAAAGATACAGGACCAGTCATTTCTAATTAAAACGAGAGATCATGTTATTTGTAGAAATGTGACTATTTGCTTAAACTGAATTATTTGATTAATATTGTGCATTTTTTAATGTCTATTTCCCTATTATATACACAATTCAAAGGTAGTAGATTATTAAATCTAAAGTTAATTTATTTGATTTTAAGTAATAGTTGATTACTGTTTTCATTTCAAGAAAGTAATGTTATTTTTGCTCATTATGTATACTTACCTTTTTTCTGCCTCTAAATGCTGACACAAGGCTGCATTACAGGTAAAAAAAAAAAAATAGGGGAAAGGAAAAAAAGATTCAACTGAAAATTAAGGGATAATATGTCTAATGTAATTATTTAGATTTTTCAAGAATTGAAGTTGATCAGTTAAAGAAATAATGATGTTATGCATAATCAATTCATGTAAACTAGTTTTCAAAATGTTATACCATTTCTGGCAGGCAGCACTTTATGAAAATTCCCATTAGCCCTTACCACCTCATTGTATTGTGAGAGTTTTTAATTTTTTGCCTATTTTGGTGGATAGATAACTGACATCTCATTGTGGGTTTTTTTTATGCTTTAGTTTCAAATGAGCTCGAGTACCTTCCCCTCTGTCTCTTGGCATTTGCATATCCTGTTTGTGAAATGTCTGTTAGTCTTTTTCCCCATTCTCCATTAGATTGCCTGTTGATCATATTCTTCATATATTCTAAATATAAACTCCCTTTTGGGGTATATGTGTTTTTGATCTTCACATAGTTTTTTTTTAAGTCTTTTATGGTTTTATGTGTGTATGTGTGTGTTTGTGTATGTATCTTTTCATGTCTTGTTTAATAAATCCTTCCCAACCCAAGATCATGAAGATATGTCTTCTGTATAATCTTCTAAGTGTTTATAGGTTTGCCTTTTATGTTTTGATCTTTAATCCATCTGTAACTGGGTTTTTGTATGTGGTGTGAGGTAGAGATCCAATTTCCTTTTATTCTCAACGTTGGTAGCTAATCAGTTATTAATTAAGTTTGTTCTTTCCCTTCTTCTCTGTGTTTTATTCTCTGTTATACATCACATTTTCATACATGTGAGGTCGGCTTCAGGCTCTCTATTCTGCTTCATTGTTTTTTTTCGTCTTAATTGTGCCAGTACTGTGCTGTCTTAATTACTTTAGTTTTATAGTATATCTTACATCTGACAAAGCAAAGCATCCTACCCTCTTTTCTTCAAAAGTGAATTACCTAAATTTTGCATTTCCATATAAATTTCAGGAGCATCTTTTTCGGGTTGCATAAAAATCGAATTTGGGATTTTGATTGAGATTGCATTAGATATGTGATCAGTTTGGGGAAGAATTGCTATCTTTATTTTATAATGTCTTCTAATCCATAAGCTTGAACTATTTAAGTTTTCTTTAATGTCCTTCATAAAATTTGATAATTTTCTTATACGTCTTTTGTTAGATTTACTTCTAGACACTTGTATTATAAATGTTATTGTAAATGTTGTCTTTAAAATTTTTCATTGTTTACTTTTGTTATATAGTAGAATAAAATTGACTTCTCTGTATTGATTTTAGAACCAGTAATCGTGTAGTGCTCTTTTTAACACTAATTTGTCTCTGGATTCTGTGTATACATCTTTGGATATTCTGTCTACAAATTCATATCATCTGCAAATAATGATAGTTCATTTCTTCCTTTCCAATCCTTTGCTTTTTGTTCGTTATCTTTCTGGCTAGGACTTCCAGCATAATCTTGACTCGGAGTGGTAATAATCACCCTTCTTGTCTTGCTTGCAATTTCAAAAGGGAAATCTTCTATTAGCTTCCCCTTGTTGGCCAACCTTACTCTTGCCTTCTCTTTCCTGGGCCCTACACCAAAGCTTCAAGTTCTCCTGATGAGGCAAATGCCTTTAAGGTGAAAGCTAGCTTCCTTGCTCTGCTTACCTCCTTGGCTTCTAATTTTCACTCAGCCTTTTGCCTTTGAGTATTCCTTTCTAATTTAACACTCATCAATATACTTAAATTCTAATAATACATATTTTATCCAACATTATTAGTTGCTTTCATTATAAAATCATATGATCTGTCACATTTTAAGTCCTATAAAATATTAATTTGACATTAATAGTAATTAAATTGAAGGCTTAATTTATCTCAAGAAATATACAGTGGTACCTGGGTTTTCAAACGTCTCCATTGACGAACATTTTGGGTTACCCACGCCGTAACCCAGAGGTAAATGCTTTGGTTTCCGAACACACCTCTGAAGTCGAAAACGCCACATGGCTTCTGCTAAGGACAAGGTCCTGAGACCTCGCTGTCAGCTGTTGATTCCTCAGTTTTCCAATGTTTTGGAACTCGAACGGTCTTCCGGAACAGATTACATTTGAAAACCAAGGTACCACTGTTGAAAATTAGGAGAATACTACAAATGTACTACATTTTCAATGAAGTCTCATTTGATGTTTTAAGTAGTATCAGGGTTATTAAAAAACTGCTGATGTTACAAATGAAACTCAGTTATATCTATTGCTGACTTAATCCTGTCTACATGTTCTATAAATTATAGCCTCAAATAAATTTTAAGTGGGGGAATTAAAGTTTCCCTGATTTTTTTCCCCAAAGAAAAAGTAGGAAGAAATGTAACAGTTCATTTACAGACTCTGTTTCATTTGATTATTTTGGATTATCATGTCCTTTTATGGTTTAATTTTGAGACCTGTCAAGAGAGTTTTTGTTTTTAATTCTGACTTTAGTTTATTTCCTTTTTCCATCTTCATAGACTCAGGTTTGGAAATCCCTTAGGTGATTTTGTCTCTGCCTCCCCTTCAGTGCAGGACCTCCATGTCTAGCATGCTTGGCAGGTGGTCATTCAGCCTTTGTCAAAATTTTTCTCAAGACCGTTTACTACTCCCTAATAGGATAGCATTCTAATTTTGATCATTGGTCCAGAGAATTTTGTAATTACTGAGACTAATTTTTAAAGTTTTAAATTTGTGGATAGCAGCAGTCTTGCAGTTTTATTAGATTACTTTGGAAGTTCATCAGGAAGAAATTTAAATATAGGATTTCTGATTTTAAAATTTCATGAATCCTTGGAATAAATTGAAAGTTTGAATTGCATTCAAATGAAGATTAGAATGATTAGAATGATAGAATGATAGAAAAAGGTTATGGATGATTCTATAGTCCTCATAAAAAAGTGAACTCGTCGTGCCCACTTCAAACTGCTTCTCCTTTGCAGCACTAAATTTCATTTTAGGAAAAAATGTTTTTATCTATTTCAGTACTCCCACATAGTGGAGTTATTACTCCTATCAGATTAAAAAACTTCCATGACAGTACTATATTTAGAAAATAGTGGTAGTCCCGTTTTAAAATATCCATATTCCTTTTTTAATAGTTAGCATACAAATCACCATTAGACATTGGAAAAAAGGGAAACATTTTAAATATAACGCCCTGTATAATATTTAGTTGTTCTCTTTGTCTATTTGTATAAATATTATTTTGTGCTTTTAATCACAGTGCAAAAACAATTTATATTTTCTTTTCTCTTTTAGAGTATATTCCATATAATCATCTGTGTTTTTATATCATCATCATGATTATTGCATAATAGTCCATTGAATTGAATACTTTAATATGTCGATGCATTCTTCTATTATTGAACATTTAGGCCTCCCCCTTTCTTATGAATATTGTTGATGTAACTATCTTAATGCAAAGTATTTCTACCATTGGAGCTGTTCCTCTAGGATAGATTTGTTATCTAGGCAACTTAGTCAAATCATGAAATTTTTTGTTATTTTGTCTAGGATTTCTCCAGTGATGATTCTAAGTTAGAATATAATGTAGATGCTGCAAATGGCATTGTTATGGAAGGATATCTGTTCAAACGAGCCAGCAATGCGTTCAAAACTTGGAACAGGTAATATATTTCAAATACTAGTCTCAATCTTTCCATATTCTCAGTCTTCTGACTTTTCCTGTGATTTGGCAACTCTTTCCTCCATAATTCTCTAAATTCACAGTCCATAGTAATTTTCTGGAGCCTAGTTTACTGAAGATAAGATGCCCTTCTAGGAAGGGGAACCCTAAGAAGCAAGTGAAAAGTGACAACACTAATTCTAAATTCTAAAATTTAAGCAAAGTTTAAACCAGGAAGCAAGGAGAGTTTTTATAGTGATTGGTTTATACTGACTAGACCATTATAATAAGGAAATTTCGAATTTGAGCTGCCTTTTCTATTTGTTAGGAAATAGATCTGATTACAAATTATGTATTGAATATAATGGTTAAATAGGCCAAGTGAACTCCCCCCCCCCTTTGATTTCCTGTCCCATGTGATACTTATGTACATTTTTACTTAGTGTTTATTTATGAACTTTAAGCCAGGTGATTCTGATCTTTGCAATAATTTTAATTAACCAGGAGTTTTAGGAAATGGGATTGTTCTTATGTGAAGTGTGTGTGGCAGCTGGTGCTCCTTTATTCTAAACTTGATAGTTACCAAAAACTCTGATTTTTTTTCTCTAAATTGATTTCTCTAAAATAGTAATTCAGTAAATTCAGTAAATACTTTATTGTATTTTCCCATGTATTAATATAGTAAAGTGACATCACTTCAGACATTAAGGCATAAAAAAAAGATTGGGTTGTCTCAGAATCATCCTTCTGAGAAGCAGTGGTTGGTCTTTTATTCAATGTTGCCTATCTTTTTGCAAAAGAAAAAAGTAGTAGCCAAAACAATTTTGTAATAATTCAAAATAGTATTGAGTTCTGGTTAATTGATTTCATATTATATTATTGGTTGAATGTATAAATTTTATTTGTAACTTGAACAGGATATAAATTCACTTAATTATAGAGAAGATTTTATTTTTTTAAAATGTACATTAGCAAAATAAGTAGAATTTTGTTGGCAACTTTAGTATACATTTTTGTTTAAATGGACATGGTCATGTTTGAATATTCAATATATTGAAATGGGTTCCTAGTCTACTTATTTTGATTTCTTGGTGATGAGGTTCACTGATATTTTCAAATTTGAGCATTTCCCTAGAACTTGGTATTACCAAATATTTAAATGGTACATGGTGTGTTTTATTTGAAATGATTTTTCTTTACCTGAGAATGAATATAAATTGGAAAGAATAATGATTATACATGATGTTAAGCCTCTTTGAGTTATATAGAACTTTAAAAATAATATATGAATATAGAAGGACCAACTAAGATGGTCTGGTTAAAAATAATGTTATGAGCTATTGTAAAAAGAAAAAGAAAATTTAAAACTCAGTTTTCTAAGCTGTAAAAACTCAGTCAATAATCTTTTAAGCCTTTCCTGGCAAATTCCCATAGCCAGAGTAGGAAATTAAAATAAATTAAAATAAATATATAATTTTTATAATAAAGATATCTCAACCAATACAGTTTCATGAGGTAATGTTAGAACTGAATTTTAACCTTCAGATTTCAAAACAGCCTACTTAAAGTTTAACATTGTGAAAATACAATAAATCTGTAAAACTATACCATTATGTTAAGAAGAATGAAATGAACTTCCATGGGACACTCCCGTGAAAGTGATCTCAGACTTCAGAATGAAGCAGTGTTAGTGGAAAATTGCATTGCTATTTACAGCAATAGAAAAAATGAATTCTGATTTAAGCATGGACCTTTTTGTTTTTATTATTTGTTTCATGAATTCTATTAATTAGCAGATATTAAAATATAAAGTCTCATAGGAGATAACTATTAAATTCTCAATTGTAGACACGTTATCTACCATTTGCAAAATGAAAAAGACAGTAACTTTAGAAATGAGACTGTTTTATAAAGGAGATACCATCTATATGTAGTGGGATGACACTTATTGATTCAAATCATAGATTCATAGATTGTATAGTTCAACACCCTAATTGTTGGTAAAGAAATGGAGGTGCTGAGAGATGGTTGCTCGTTTAAGGTCACACAGGTGGTTTGCAACAAAATTGAGACCCCAAAATTGTCATTTTTTAAAACTTGATATGGAAATTCCAAGCAGTCTATATTTTGATAAAGCAAAATACAACTTCAGCTATTAAAAAATAGCTTAGGGGGAATTATGTCAACAATAAAAAGAAAATTTGGAGGATTAACAAGAAAAAAAGCAGCTTAGAAACCATTTTTAAAAACCTTCTTAGTCCATTAGGAAAAATTATAGATAGCAAATTAATTTCATTTTCATGAGCTTTTAAAGAACATTTTGATGAAAACATTGGTAAAACGGACTTGTAGGAATAGAGCATATAAGCTTATATAAAACCCTTTCACAAATAAAAAGCAAAAGTGAAAACCTTGTAATAGAAGTCTTAAATATTTTCTAGGTTATAAGCCTATAACTATAAAAGGGAAAAGAAAGAAAGAGTTATTTATTAAATATTATTTAGAATTTTCTTCTGCTTTTTAATTATAAAAATTTAGAAGGTATCTAAATTCCTTAAGTTTTTAAAAAATTGAATTTCAGGAAATATTTGCAAATAATTTTTTTTGCCTATATATGATTTTAGTGTCTAACCCACTCAAATTAGTTCTGTCTAGCTTGATTTAATACAGTCTACTAGCCTCTGAAAAAAAGACTGTGTATTTGTGATATTTGTGCATTAACTTTAAAAATCCAGGAACCCAGCTCTTCAATATTTTTCTGCCTACTGTTTAAGATTTATTTATTTATTTATTTATTTATTTATTTATTTATATTGTCCGTGGGTTAGTTTTAGGGGAACTTTTTTTTGGGTCATAATCACCATAGGTACCAATCATATGATCACAAGTTAGCCATTATTTATATTTTTATAGAATGGTTGGCATATAATATTTTCAAAATCAACTGTTTAAATAGACCTCCTTCCTGAGAAAAATGCGAATTTGACTACGAATTTCTGATAGTTTTAAAACCTGACCTTGTGCTTCATAAAATCTAAGTATATCTTGAAAAAGTATTCTATAACCTGAAATTTAACTGAAGAGACCATATTTTGTGTGATGTGGTTGAAGTAGCATAAGGAATTAAAACGCTTTGTGTCTCGTGAATAGTTGAGCTTGTTTCTGGTTGGTTTCAGATTTCTGGCTTTTGGTGTCTTAAGATTTTTATACGTCTATAATATATGTATTTTCTGAAGACATATGAGATCTGCCAAAATAATATTTCAATATCAGGCCATTTTCTCTGTGGCAACTCTACTTCAGGCTCAAATCAGAGATAGATGGATTGCTAGTGTCTATATTTCTCTCTTACTTTTCATGGTAAATTCAGAAAGGATGGATAAACAAGGAAAATAATTAAATATTAACATTATTTAGTTGTAAACTAGTAAAACTAATAAAGTTGAATAATTATGTGCTATGCTCAGTCTTTGTTAAACTAGAAAATATAGTTAAAATCATAAAATGTATTATACAGTTTCTTAAAGCAAAGTATCTAATATGCTGCTAGTACAGGTATGCATTTTTATTTTGTTTGACTTTGTTTTAAAACAAGAAGTATATACATAGGTTAAAGATGTACTCTACTTATGTGTGGCCTTAGAGTTTCTGCTATCATTTAATGAAAAGGGGGTGAGCAAGTGGGTGAGTTTATTTGGCTGATAATATTTTATAATCACTGACATTCTTAATTAGTCATCCCACTTTTTTTATGAAAAGTTTTTATTTGTCTCAGGTTTATATATATATATCTATAGTGATGTATAAGGAACACACTGTTAAGATGAAGAAAGGTACTATCTATATTTAATAGCTATGAGAATAGAGGCAGAAAATAATAATAGAGGTATGCACAAGTGTGCTAAGTCCTACCAGAACTTTCTTTGCCATAATACTTGAAGAAGAGTTTTGAATATTTCTGAAATATTAGTGTTTCAGATTCCTAAGAGTTGGAATTAATTGTACACGTGGATTTATGTATAATACGTGAAAAAATGCAACAGATATTTTCGATTATTTTGTTAGGTTATAAGCTTAAGCTTGTTCCTTTAATTCTTGCTTTATTTTCATATCATGCTAGTCCTTTGCTTATTTTGCACATTTGCGTTTTCATTCTTTTACCGCCTTTCCCTTATGTTTTAATCTGCCCCATTTTTTCACATGACAGGAAAAAGCCCGATCATACCAGGTACCAAATGGCTTTCTTCCCCTCACCCCCTACCTTACTCCAGTTTCCTCTTTGGCACGAGAAAGCTCATAATTAACCTGCGTTTCGTTTGGATTACTTGCAATGGATATAAAGTCTCATATTTTAAATTGGGAAGAAAATGTAAACATCTTAATTTGAGGAACGAAATTATACCTTTTCATTGCCCATCTCCTCAATTGCTTTTAATCTGGAAAGAACATTTGATATGTTTATAGCTACTCAAAGAAGATTATACATTGAGTAATGATATCTTTTTTTTTTTTTTAAGGGAAATAAGTTAGTAAATGCTTTTCAAAAATTTAAACAGTAACTAGGAATTAGTCCCTTTGGTAATAACCATGTTGGTTATGTTGAAAGGAAACGTCTTTAGTTCCTAGACTTTGTGTTTTGTTTTTACCATTTTGGTCTTTTTCCGTGTGAAAAATAAAATTGAATTTGAAATAAAGGAGGATAAATGTTCAAACTTTTAATTTTGTTAAATGTTCACCTGTTTGGCACCTACATGAATGTGTGCAAGAATCCATTTTTTGTATGGTTTTAGTGAAAGAAGCTTGACCAGTTTAGAAGCTTGACCTTTACCCCTGTTCTTAATTTCAAGTATAGTTCTGGGACTAGTGATCAAACAGGGTAAAAGATACTTGATTTATTTTTTTAACATATATTTTCTTCTCCCTCAATTTTGTCATCTGGAAAACTCATTGGTATTTACAATTTAATAATATTTAATTACTTATGAAATAATATTTTGGCCTCAAATCTTTATTATATTGAGTTACTTCATTTTGAGAGAGACATAAAATGGTGTCTTATTTCTCTTAATGAACCAAGAAATTTTTCTTTTTATTTACTTATTTTTGTTAATCCTCACCCTAGGACATTTCTCCCATTGATTTTTAGAGAGAGTAGAAGGGAGGGAGAGAGAGAGATACAGATACAGGTACACATTGTTTGATTGTCTCTCGCATGTGCCCCAACTGGGCTGGGAATCTAACCTGCAACCCAGGTATGTGCCCTTGACTGGAATTGAACCCAGGACCCTTCAGTGCTCGGGCCAGCACCCTAATCACTGAGTCACATCGGCCAGGGCAAATTTTCCTTTTTAAAACACTGCCTTATATTTTGGCTTGTGACAGCTTCTGAATCTTGTAGAATATAGTATAGTTGTCAATACAATGCTTTCCAAAATTTGTCTTTTTTATTATTTAATTGCCCTTTTTAAGCTCATGCTACCCAAAATCTTCAAATTTTGGGTAGCATGAGCTTAAAAATATTAAGTATTTTTCTATATTCCATAGGAATATGAACTGTCTCATTTTTCCTTTTAATAAAAATATTAATAGTAACTAGGATTATTCTATAGGAGCAATTAAAAATTATATTCCATTTTACTTACCTGATTAGTCTTGATCAATGTAAATGAGTATAGTTAGCTCTTTTTCTTTAAGGATAGAGGAGGGGAGAGTGTGTCATAAGATATACAGATCTTAGTAAGTGAAAATTTTTTCTGCCTACGATTCATTATGATTTTATTCCTTAGGAGGCATTGCCCAATTAAGATGAATTTATAGTGTCTTTCTTAGTGTACAAAAACTGATGATATGAGAAAGTCACCAGACACAGAGAAATGGCAGGGAACTAGGTTTCAGAAATATGTATGATCTGTAAAGTTATTAATCAGAGAAATGATCTCTGACAAAAAGACATAAGTTTTTAATCTAATTTGTTATTATTTTTAGAGGTTACTATCCTAAGATGCAGCATGTCCAAATAAATTTAGTTTTTGAAGACTAAGAAGCATGAGAAGCTTACATGGTTTTATGGATGTTTTTCCTTTGTGCAGTAAAACTCTATGTAGTTTTTCATCAAGTTATCATAATATGATTACTACAAAACACAAGAATTTTTATTAATGTAGTTCATCCTTCCTCAAATTATTAAAAAAAATACTTCAATCAGTATCAGAGATTGCTTCCATTGCATGTCATCCCATGTGGCAGGGCTGCACCATTTTGTTTGTTTGTAGGCATTTCCTTTAACATTTCTAACCAATTGTGTGTCCCAAAGCAAAGAAACCCAGAAGTTCTTCCTTTTCTAGCCTGCCTCTTGATCATTTGCATTTAGAGGCAACCTACTTGGTTTTATCTAGATGCTAATTTAACAAATCTCTATTAATGGTAAAGGTGATACCTTTTTAAAGCAGCAAGAAAACCTAACAATCTGTCTAGCTTAAAAATAGAAAATCATTTCCTCAGCTTTGGAGAATTAATTTAAAAAATAGAAATTCTAAATATGTCTAAATACAATTTATAGTGCTTTTTTTTTTTTTAGTATCAATGAAAAGGTAGAATCTCTATCTGCTAATAGATTAATAACTAATGTTTACAATAGAAATCATCTCACATGAAACTAATTTTAAAATAATGACTCAAGTATTGTTTTACCTTTCATGCTTGATGAGAATTTTTGCTTTCTTTTATGAATCGCTTTTGGCTGTGATTTTTTTTATTTTTTGTAAGTCTTTAGGTCCTTTTACTGTTTTAATAAATTAGAATTAGTAAATATGCCATAAGTAGCTTAGCTTTTTCTTCTAAAGAGGATTGCCTAATAATTTACAGTAATGAGCAGAACAATATAAATAGTTGGATGAATCGTTTTAAAAATAACTTTGGTTATTCTGTTTCTGTGATTATATGAAAGTAGGCCAAGTAAATTGGCAGTTGTCTCCTGTTTGATAGCAATTGTAAAATGATGATTTAATTTTCTGTTTTGCTTACCAAATCACTTGCTGAATTAGCTGCAGAATGGTTGAAAACAAAGCACCATTTATTTCATTGTTTTAATGTATACAAATGTATAGTCTTATTTACAATATAAATTTATTTCCGATTTATAATAAAAACAATTATTTGGGGGGAGAGATTTTGGTTATTTTGAGGAACCTCAGGAAAAAACAAACAAATTTTTACTTTAAAGCAATTATTATTTGATGATAGCATAAAAGGTAGCTTTTGTTAGGATTTAAATTGCTGACTTAAAATGAATCAAAATATAGTAATTTTACTTCTTGAATCTGTGGTTTTAAAATTGTTTAAAATCGTTCTTTCAGTAGTTATTTCATTGGCTCTAGTTTATATAAAGCAAAACAAAACAATGTACTTCTCAAAATATAATTATCATAAACTGATTTTCTAGTGCTTTCCCAAATATTTTGTACCTAACAACAACTGAAATAAATTGTGTTTGTGAAAATTTAATCTATTTTGTATTTATTTAGACGCTGGTTTTCAATACAGAACAATCAGTTGGTTTACCAGAAAAAGTTTAAGGTATGTTTTTTGTTAAGTAATTAAGTGAAAAACCTTCAGTGAATCCCCAGTTTTGGTTCTTTATCTGTTTGTCTTGGGAAAGCATTGAAGTACATAATTACTCATGTGTGGGGAATTACTGTTAATTAGTTTTATGTTTGGATGTGTATAAGAGGATTCAGAAGTGGAAAGTATCAACATTCAATACTTAAAAGCAGAGTGATTTTGAATCCCGAATTCTTAATTCCTAGCTTTGAGATGGATTTTTTCTGACCCAGGGTTAATACTTTTTTTCTTCATGTTTCGTTGTCTATTTGTGTGACAAGAATAGTACTGCCATTCCATAGTACTATTTGGAGACTGTAGAAAAGGATGCCTTTAAGAAATATCACCAAATGGGCACAGGTGATAATATAGAAATGGCATTAAAATGTAACCTTGAAGTAAGTTAAAGAAAAACCTCTAAATATGTTAATGTTGTTTTTATATATTCATTTTTCTGAACCTTATTTTAAGCGTGAGGAATTTTTATTTATTGGAAAGGTGTACTGAAATTACATGTGACTTGACAATGTGACAATTCATTTCCCTCCTAATGTCTGAATGTGCGGCCTTGACCTCTTTGGACATTTCCCTCTGAAGGCACTGATCTCTGCCTCTCCCTGCTGTGCCTCAGCTTCTCTGCCCTCCCTCTCCTGTCACCAGCCTTGTTGGTGTTCAGTCAGAAAACTACAGTTGCAGGTGATAGTGGCCCAGGAGAGACCCTGGGAGGTTTGCTTTATGTGGAAAAAGGGTATTGAAATGGTCTGTAGACACCATGCAAAGCATGGAAGATTTTGTTTCCTTCACACACGTCTTAGCTTTTTCTTTTTTTATTTTGAAGGTTCTGGTAACCTGTGGTGTATTTTTTTCTGTTTTCCAGTGACCTTGTTTTTTTATTTTCCTCACTTTTCCTTACCAATGTCTCTAACCACTATGCACAGATAAACTTGACCTACAAACTCCTTAACCTGATCTGTAAAGAATGTACAGAGTTTAAACACATCAATAAATACTTCAACTTC